TGTGTTAAATTGCGAGTTCTTTGTCATTCGAGTTCACTGATACAAAAATTATCGCTTTTATTTTTCAAATTTTTATATCTACAACTGAAACATACGTCACAATTTCATTTTGTTTACGTTTCATCAAAACGTTGTGACTGTCCAATTCAACACAGTAGAAGAGACGATTGTGTTTCCACCACTTTGCTTTTTTTTTTACAAATATTGAATAAATTACTTTCAAATTCTTTTTCTACAATTGACGCATGAATTAAAATAATCTAATTCGAGCTTCGAATGCAACACGCACCGCAGTACATATAATCATCTCTCATTTGATAGTTTTTAATGTGTACAATAGGAAAGAACACATAATCAGATTGTTGTTTTTGACAACACTATAATGTTTATCTCTATGTCATAGTCAACGTTAGAACCCAGTCCAATTCCGAATTCATCTAGTTGAAAGTGGACTTTTAATTTCGTTCTGAAGAAATTAGAGTCATTTATTAATGTATAAAAAACATCAAATTGGGATTTGCGTGTGTCGATTACGAGAAATTGTATACTGACAATGTTTTATAAGAATTAAATTAAAAAAATTGTCAGTTTAAATGCTTTAATTCATTATAAAATTCATTCCACTTTCAACTACACAAATTCTCAGACGAGCTGGATTCGAATTTCGATCATAACACACAAATATATATCTTTCTCTACCAGTCACTATTTATTTCAAAAGAGAAGCAAAAAACCTATTTGCTGGCTAACTACTAACATGCTGTTAAATAGATTATAAAACAAATCAAACTCATTGAGATTTGATTCTTTGGATACTGGGATTCTAAGATGAAGATATACATATGAGTATCATTGTATATCACTTTATATTGAAAGAGTTATGCAATTTGATGTTTATGTATTCTTTTTCGTAGTTTCAATGAATTGAATGAAAATACTCGAATTGAATTTCATGATTCATAATATAGTGTCTTCTTCATATTTGGAATTAAAATTCATCTTTGATATATATATATACGTATATATCCTTAATTGACTTTAAAAATGACATAGTGATTTTTCAATACTTCGAATTTTACTTAAATTTAAATTTAACTTCGACTTGTATATGGATTTACAAGGGTAACATGGAAGTATCATCATAAATCAATGTACTACATGAATTTCCAGTGTATACAGATTTCGTATTTTGTTTGTTGGTTGAGAAATTGATAATCCTTCATGTTGAATTCTAATGTTCAAGTTTCATTAATTGTTATCGTATACAGTAGTTTATGCTCATAACTGATATTTCTTCATTATTGTCCAAACAAATATTGACAGATAAAACAAGATCTCTAGATCTCATCTGTTCCATATTAAAACTAGAGATTAAAACAAAAAAATATTCAATACCGATAATTATCCGATATCATATATTTTTCTTGATAACAACGAATGTATCTGCTAGCATAACAGTTAAATTATATTTTCGATCTGTGGCAATTCAAATCTTTTGTTAGAATGACAAAAACTTGAAGAAGGAATTTAATACTATTATGTGAAAGTAATATGCAAAGGCAATTTCAAATATCCGAATCTTTTTCTCATTTAGCTGGTTAGCGGGAAATAATTTTTTAATTTTCTCTCCCGTATAAACCTACGCACGCCCTCAGTCTTATGACGTGGGCTTTAATTAAACATCATTTAAAAACAATTTATGTGCGTTGAGACAGACTGATGAGCTATCTATGTTTCATACACGTTCGAGCGCTTTATTCGTTGTCGTATACTATATGTCAGCACACGTTAGTTTCTATACTTTTATTATTGATTTTACTTGGATCAAGGATAGGGTCATATTAACATAGAAAATATGCATATATATATACTTAGTAGTGCATGTATTCGGGTTTCCTACGCATTGCATTCTTTTCAATAACTACTCATCACGGTGAAAAGCAATAAGAGTCGTTCGTCTTTGTATCAAACGCAGCACTCTAATACATCAATGCAGTCAAACGACAGTGACGCATCTTCATCATTATCATCAAGCAATATAATTCAATATGGACCAATTCAAGTTCGCCTTTGTAGGAGACCAGCTCCAACAATAGCAACCGGACGAAGATCAAAACATCTTGTTTTAATTGGCGCAGAAGCTGCCAAGCGTGAAAAAAGACGTGAAAAAAATCGAGAAGCAGCACGAAAACTGAAAGAGAAACGACAATGCATCGAATATGGACTTAGTCAAAAACTTCAAGAACTTCAAGGTGAACATATAAATTTACAAAATTATCTTCAGCAACTTCAACAAAGAAAAACGAACTTGCAAGAAAAAGTAAATCATTTTGGTATCGATCCACTTATTGATTTATTATCAAAAGAAAATCAAGATTTCACTTTACTTTTTGAAGAATGCATAGATGATTTGGATCTTTTGGATGAATCAGTAGAAAATACTTTTGACTTTGCTTTTGATTTTGAGACACATTCTAAGTCTATGAAAAATGATTGATTGATAGACTGATTAATTACTGTTTTTTTGTGAATATTAATTTTTTATTTCTAATAGTTATATTTGAAATTCACTGAAAATTGAATATTTTGAACTATAAGATTATTGATTCAACTTGTATTCATATCGAATGACTGCTTATGATATACTTAGTTCTCAAATCAAAGTCATCGTTTGAGGTCAAACGCTTTTTAATAAAACAAATCGAACTGGTTTATCAGATACATGTATTCTCTAGTTATTTATACTCCGTTTTCATTATTAAATCGGACAATAATCAGAATCATTCAAAAACCGTCATACACTGTTTCATATCTACCTTGGGATTTTTTCTGCAGTAATACAGTTGAAAGAAAACAGTCACTGTCAACACATATTAGGTATTATATGGTAGGTTTGACGTAGACCAAAAAAACGGACGTGGTAAGGCTTCTTTTGATAATTACCATCGTTGTCAATTTGCGATTCATTCATCCATAAAAAGATACGTTGATAAATGTTCTTTTTCTTCTACTTTTTGTATTTGTATGCACGTTGCTTATTTATCAAACATAAAACTGTGTACCATAAAAATTGTGAATAAGCGTAGTGCATGCTTTTTCTTGATATGAATGACCGAAATTTCTGTCATGTAAACAAGTAACTAAAACTTTTAATTTATTCAACTAGCATCAAATCTCTAATTAAAACTATTGTTGAAATAAAGTAACAAGATTAAACTGATGAACTGTGACATTTGTTACTAGTAATTTTGGAGAGTTTTTGACCAGTTTCCACTAAAAAAAATCGATAGTAAAATAAAATCTGCGTGTATGAAACATATTTTTGATTTCTCTTCATGAAAAGCTGCAATCAATAAGATATTTCATTCAATATTTTTGTATATTTTTCTTTGAGACATTTCTTCCAGCATTTTTACGTGTTTTTGAAGATTTTTAATAATTTATTAAACAATTTTTGAATCTATTTTGCTAGTTTACCTCACAGATTTTCATATACTCATGCATAAACCAAGTCAACTTTTCAAATCTATTAATTCTATACATTTATGGAATTTTTTTGCGATGAGTCGTGCAATCAATACTGCATGATCTATTGAGAGATTTTTAATCGAATACAACGAATGAAAACTGTTTTCTATTTTCGTTACTAGATTCCATCATACTTTCAATCATTTTTGTCCCAATGTCATAATAAGACATATAGTGTATATTCATCTATTTTAATCTCGCTCATATATTATAGCATGAATTCGAACTAGAAAATGTGTACTTAAGCAAATGCGCAACTTAACTTAGACTCATGTTCATTTACAATAGCAAATTTCTATGTCAAAAATAACTATAAATTAATTTAAATTTAAATTTCAATCTCAGTCATTATGAAACAGACTTTCATCCAACTGAATTTCTTTTTTTAATAAGAAGCTATTTCGATTTTATTCTGTAGAAGAAACATATCTCAATGAATTTTCAATATATTAGTATTCGTAACAAAGGTGTTTGTAAAAAAAGTTGAAGAAAATATTAAATATTTTATTATAATCTAACTCGATGAGTTGAGGTTTGTTTCAGCACTAAAATAGAAATAACACATCACTTTTCACTGGATACAGAAAACATCGAAACAACAGTTTTCAGTATGGTTTTCTTTTAACAGACTTCAAATTAATTTCTAATTGATTGGTTGAGAAACATCAATTTAGTTTTTGATATATAATCAAATTTAAAGAAACGTCTATTGGTAGTGTATAATGGATGGGCGCAGAAAAAATAGTTTCATCTATTTATCTAATACCAATAGAAATAGTAAAGAATCATTGATGTCCGAAAAACATTTTTGTTTTTAACACAGACAATAAATGTTAAAATGGACTTATTTTATTTTCATTGACACTGGTTCTCCCTCCCACGTTGGAGTGGATAGTGCAACAGCAAAAACTTTCAAGCAGCTTGTAGCTAATTTTCTCTAAAGCATTATATACAGAAGATTTCAATGTAAAATATTGAAGCATTATTTAAATGCTCTTCAAATCTCTCTGTACATATTTTATTGAAAAGAATATATGTTCAAAATAATATAGAAAGAATTAAAATTGTTGTTTTGTTATTACTTTTCATTGATTGATCAATCTGTTCACATATCGGTAGATATGTTAAAAAGGACTCATCTTTTTACAATTATACCCTGTCATTTTCAAGCTATTAAATCAGGAAACTTAACGTCTTTATGTATCTAGACGTAGAAATTGATTCTATAGTTCACGAAAAATATATTTCTAGCATAATTACAGAATTTTAATTAGTGTAGATGAATACACGTTCTCATTGTACCGATGAAATGTAATTGACGGAAAGTTTAATGTATAATTTCGATGATTAATAAAATATCTCGATAAATACTATATCAATGAAAGTAAAAATTCTTTTTATGAAGCAATTGCCCTCGTCAATCACTATGATTTATGCCAAATTTGTATTATGACCTTCGTGAAGAGCCAATCATTAATCATTAATTATTATTTCTAACTTCTAACGTTCTTTTTTTATGAGACAAAAACTGATAAAATCCAGTCAATAATCCGATCTAATTCTAAAACATGACATAGTTCTATGCGTCATTTTTAATCATTTAAACAATATTGATCGAAATATTAAAATAAGATTTTCGTTTGTTTTGATTTTTGTTTTTCTAGCATAAGAAAGAGCCTATTTTTTGATAGTCATCAATATAATCGCTGGAATGTATACGAGTTTTGCACACAAAATTGAAAAACTAATTCTCTCTGAAGCTCTATTCTGACTTGTATAAATATTGTGTGGAAAAATCAGAGCGTTCTATTTAACACATAATCTTGAGTAGGTTTATAAGATTTTGATATATTAAAGACAAAAAAGGATGAAACTTTAGAGTTAGTAATTAATTAATAATGAAAACTTTGTCCTTTTAAATCATAGAATTTATTGGAATTTTGTTGAACGTTCTTATTCACTTTGGAACATAAGCAACATGATGAACGCTCGAATCGAGTTTGGCAGGCTCGGTGTGATAATTTTCATCACCTTCAACAATTTTGTCTCCATCTTCTTTTTTAATCGTACGGCCATTATTAAGTGTTACATTAGCAATTGAACAATCTTTGTCGTCCACTTTTGCTTGACCGTCCGTTAAGTTTACCCAATATTTTTGCGTTTCATTTATAACACACTGTGCGAATTCACGATCAGCATATTGTTCATTGAGAGCAAATTTATTTGGAGGTTTACCAGTTGGAACTTTATAATATTTAAACCAACTACGTGTTGCGTCAAGTAAACCTGGAAGATGTTTTTCAACATCACCAATGCTATTAATCTATTTAAAGAAAGAAACAGTGAAAGAATTGTTGACAGTTTATACACTTTTATAAATGTCTTCTGATTGTTTTTACCTGTGAAGCAAGTTTATCGCGAACATCAATACCAATCAATTTCCAATCTGTTTCACCTTCATCAATTAAACCAAGTACGCCAACTATTTTAACAGGTACAATTGAGCCAGTTGCATGAAGAGTACTACCTATTTCACATACATCTAATGGGTCGTTATCTCCTGTTGTTTTTGTATCTTCATCAACATGATTAGGATCTTCCCATGTTTGAGGTAGTGCGCCATAATTCCATAGATAACCATGATAAGGAAATACGTTATGAACAAAACGAGGTTTGCCTATAAAAAGAAAATAATTAAATAAATGAATTAAAAACTTTGACATAGCCGACCATTCTTGACATCTTGAGTAATTGGATTCATTTTAAGTTTTTTATTTATTTCCATTTTTGCGTTTGTCCATCGTGGTACTTCAACAACCATATTATAAACAACATCTGTTGTATTTCCAGTTTTAGACGTGTAATGTTGATTAACAAGTGGAATGTCATGAAATGGTGAAACAATTGCTTTTGTTTGTACATCACGAAGATAACATTTATAATTAAGTGTATATAATTGACCACGTTGAACTGTTTCATAACGTTCATTTTCATTATCATTTGATTGAGATGCCATGTTTGCTGCTGATTCGCGCTATACAACTGTAATAAAGGCGATTTTTTAAACAATATTACGAGATTAAGATATTATTCGAATGATTTCTAGAATGAATAGAAGTTTAGAGGAAAAAAAGAGTCATTGAGAAAGAAAGGTTGATTTCTGAACGCACAAGCACATAAAAATGAACGCAAAAAATCTTTTTCATGTGCTCAACAGAAGCCAATTATGTTTTACATCAATGCACATATCGTATCTAAGGCGATTTCCTTCTTATCTGATGATAAATCGGATTTTTTTATATGTATGATGATAGTGAATAAATGTGACGTTTAGAGTTTGCATTGATATTTTATACATTAAATTAATCATCATATGTAACGAAATTTTTAAACTAGAATGATTGTTCGACAAAAACAACCGAACTATGGAATTATTCACTGAAACTTTTGTTAAAATATGTTCTCATTGTTTTTTTTTGACGTCAATAAAGGATTAATGAAATAAAAACAAACGTAAAAAAGAAGCGTGAATAACATTAAAAAATGTCTACTGGAACTGAAAAATACACTTATGATGATGATGTCATCAAGTATTTTTTGTAATTATTTTGATGAATAGTAAATTGACTTTTAATCAAGAAAAAACGAAAAACAAAACAAGAAACTCGAACATGGGGCAATTAGTACGATAAACAGCAGCATTTCAAACAAACATCTGCATATTTGGAGGATAATAGGGGATGAATTAGTTAACCTATTTTCTTTTCGGCTTCCTATGTTTATTTATTTTAATCGAAAAGCAATATGCATTGCCATGGTTTTAAATTCCATTCTTGTATGCATTGTTAATTAATCAATTTTCTTATTTTTTAGTTAACTAAATGTTATCAGTTGAAAACGAAAACTATTTATTTTGTACGTACGACCTCTTTCTTATTCCCATGTAACTATAGTAACCAAAGTGGAGAATGGCTACGCTACGCTATTCCGTGACCTCTTTGTTTCACAGTTGATTGGGATTAAAGATGCCACCAAAAGGGAAAAAAGCGAAGTCCGAAAAAAAGAAAAAAGAAAAAGAAGAAATTCTTCGTCCATCTGAAAAAGAATCTATACTCCAAGCAGAGTAAGACTCTCTTCCTTTAAATAAAAATCTAATTGTTTTCTTTTGCTTAAGACTCGATAAGAAAGTAGAAGAATTAGCTGATATAAAATTGCGTGTTCGCACCGCGTAAGTTGATTTTCTCCAATATTTTCTTCTAAATCTTCTTATAGTCAACAAGAAAATAATTGGCTCAATGAAGAAGCAAATAAAGTTCGTGCGGAAACAGTAAATATAAAAATAATTCTTGTTCATATTTTAAATCTCTACATATACAAGTTGATTCTAGGCTGAATACGTGCAATATATGTCGAAAAAGACAAATATTCGCCAAGCACAAATTGTGACATTAACTGATTATCATCGACAAGAAATAGAAGAAATTAATCAAGATAAAGAAAATATGTTGAAAGAATATGAAAAAAAGAAAGAAGGTTTGTTATTCTTAATTAGCATTTTCTAGTTAAATGGATTGCGTGATTTTTAGAATTAAGATCTCAATTATTGAAAAAGGAACAAATATTAGCACAAACAAAGCGTGAATTGGAAACAATGGAGGAATATAAAGTATGAATATTAAGATATTTATTTCTTTTAAAATATGAAAGAAATTAAATGAAAATTAATCATAGAATATTCAAGAACAACAAAATAGTCAAATAAAACGTTTACAAGAAGAAATTAATCGTATGCGTGCTGAACATGTACGCGAAATATCTAATATGAGATTAACCTTTCAAAAAGAACTTCAACGGCAACGTTCAGAAGAAGACTCTAAAGTTCAAGAAATTCGACGACAAGCTGATCAAGTTTGTTCAAATAAATAAATAGAGAAATACTCACTAGTTCTTCGCATTGTTTAGGAAGCTGAACAATTTCTTTATGATCGAACTTTAAGTATTCAAAGTGAAAATCTTGAATTACGAAAATCATTGCAAGGTATACTGAAACGAATACAGGCATTAAATGAATCGAATCAAAGTTTAGAAGAAGAACAAATTATTTTGATTCGACAACTTAAATTAGCTGCTGATCTAAAACGCATACGTTTAAATAAAGTTGTGTTACCTATTGGTTTGAATTCAATGAAATCAAGTCCTCATTAATCTCATGAATCTTTTTATAAATATATTTTTGATTTTTAATTTTTAATTTTTAATTTTATATTAAAAAATAAATTAAAAAAAAACTGGGTAAAAGCATCATATTTCGATAAACTTAAAATTTAGCCAATCAATTTTACACGATGATCATAGATTTATTGTAAACCTGTGTCTGAAAACTTTCAAAAATGCTCGGTAACACTAGTCAATAGTCGATTACTCTAGATCTATATGAACAGGCGATTTGGTCGAGTCTATGTTCAGACGTCATGAAAATAGAATTGTAAGTTTTGTAACACAAAGGTTTGATCTGAATTTACATCTCATAGGAAACTGAAAGAGAATACTTGAAGAAAGTCTGCATCGCCATCGAACGCTACATATTATATTGAATGGAACTACTGTAGAGTTAGAAAAATAAACTACAAGGATTAGTGTAGTTATTCACTTAATTCTACGCGATTGTATTTAACAATTTAGAAAATGTCTTTGAAAGGACGACAATAGATAGAATGTTCAATTGATTCACTAGTATTTGTTTTTACTCGTTCGAGTTTAATCGTGTTTTCACTAGAAGAGTACTTTGATAGCATAGCGTTGGAACTAGTCAAACGTGAGCTTAATCAAATTTTGAGAATATATGTATATAAATATATAGTTGTTAATATTCTCTTGACTCATACTCTCAATTCATATTGATTCTAGTCATGAGTTATTATTAGAAATAGACATAACTTTTGTCAATCTCACGCATGCCGATTTTGTTTTAGTTCTTCCTGTCGGAATAAAGTTTGAAAAACAAATGTGTTGAATAACCTATTTTTAATTCTAATAGATCTTCAAATAAATCGATTGAAATTGATTAAAATCGTTTGCACTTCTCTAGCACTGATACGGTTAATTTTAACAAAAAACTATGAATTCTACCATCGAATGATTTTTCATGAATATCTTGTAATTATGTTTTAAAAACACAAACTATTCAAAATAAACAATGTTTAAAGTGTAATTAAATCAAAAAAATTGAAATAGTGTTTTCTCAAACTTCATAGTATATTTGTTAATAGATACATTTTTCTTCTATTCGAGAAGAATTGTATGTGTTCATTATGTAAATTTTTTATTGTTCTTTTTTTGTTTTTTTGATGGTTAACGTATGATCCGATTATAGTTCAACACATTTTTCTGCAGTTTTCCGCCAAAATTGTTACCAGCTTACGGAAACATTTGAATTGTTCATTATATATACGAACAGAAACGAGTAAAGAAAGCGTTGTGTATATTCATTTTAGGTCAGCATCTAACTATTTGAAAGAAGATCATTGTCGTTCAGATGAATTAATGAGAGAGCTTGTTTTTCTCGATTTTAATCATAAAGTCAGTGCACTTTTGTCGTTTTTTCCTTATAAACTACGAGTGAATACATTTTTTTGTATGATTTGATTACTGTACGTGTGAAGCAAAGAATTTAGTCATGAAAAGAATGCAGTTAGTTTACTATAGCAATCATGGTAATGGTTTATCACAACGTAAATTTGCTCAAAAATATTATACTTCACTTGATTGTTTATCAAATATTTTAAAACGTAAAACAGAATATTTAATCAATTCTAAAATTACCCAGAATCAAAATGCGTTTCTACTATGCATACCTTCATATTCCTTTTCAATCGTATTTTACAAAATAGATGGTCAAAAGAATAAATAAACGTCTTTTACCCAATAATAATGTACAACTAGAGTTAATACCTCGGTAAAGTCAACTTTTTTAAACGATACCAATTTTGTTCATAATAAGGAGGTTTTATTGGATTGTATTTTTTTAGATTTAGTATTTGCACGGTTAACCAAAGAACTATTTCTAGTACATATGCGATGAAAAGAGATATTGAGTTTTAGAACAGCAATGTTCTTTAATTAGATTGCGTATTCCATGTGAAAGTGATATATGCATATAAATCATCAAGTGACAAAGATAAACTACCAATCTTCATATATTTATATATATATTGTTGCTAATGATAGAATAATATGAATTATATTTTTCAAACATATGATTCATATCAAGCCTACACATAGAAACTTTAAATAATTAATCAGCAATAACGTATAAATAAAGTAAAAACAAAATATAATTTACAATTTACAATTTACAATAACAACCTATTTATATATTTATTTATATAGTTCGTCTTCTATTACATCTACAGGGTATCGATACTTAGTCGCATTTATTCGCATTCAAAAATTTATATTATATAGAATACCAATGACACATCACATGAAGATAATTATTGGTTATTTTCAAGAACAAAAAAACAGTTGCCTGTATTAAATCCAATACTTCCTTTTATCCTTCGTTAAAATACATCTGTCGTTTGCCATTCAGTTCTCACGTAGATATCAACTTGTTTGACATTAATTTAGATATAACAATAGATAGTGCGATGAATATAGATTTTCGAAGTAGTAAATTGAATGAGAAAAAAAGATACATCTCATTCTATTTCTACTAGATAGTTGAAATAAGGCGAACTTATAGCTTAGTCTTTCATAGAGAAGAATATATTACGCTCTGGCTTATAGTGTATAAATGATTGATTACTTTTTTCTATCTACAAATAGAATCAAAAGCTACATTGGATCTTATTCTTCCTATAAACTTGATTATTCATCTTTTTTCCATGAAAGAAAAAAATTGATAGAAGCAGACAAGGCAAAAATATTCTTTCCTTGTTGTATTTTTTGTCTCTCCTACGGACAGGAAAAATCAATTATCCATATGTAACTCTATCTTTGCCATTTTTGCCAGTTGTCTATTATTCAAAGGCAAGAGAGAGAGACAGCATGGATGTAGATTAAATACTATAGGAAGTAGATAATTATGCATTCTAGTGTCTCTCATCGTAATAAAATAATAATTAATTTTTGATATTTCAGTATTTTATTTTTCTCTTATTTTTATAAATTAAACAATATCATATATAATATTTGATAGATAAAATTCTTACGATATAATCATTAAATCAAACTTATTCGATTTAATTATATATTTGATATCAATTATACATATGGATTGGCTCAAGTAAGTTTTACGACAAAAATTAATTTATTCATATTGTATCTTAATCATTTTTAGTAGATTGATTTATCTTAAAAATCAAAATGAAAAATATCATACTAATAATACTAAAATTCTTATATGAAAATTCTTAGTTTAATGAAGTTTTCTTAAGAATCTTTTGATAAAGAGAAAATATTTCAAGAAAATAAATTTATCTTGCTGTTGGCAGACACTTCGTTGCGATTGATATAAACATGTCAAACAAAATGTATTGTTATGGCAGCTCTTAGATCGCCTTGTGTTTCAAGGTGATAGACAAACGCATTTATTCCAATCTTTGCACCTTCACAGTGTTGTTATCGGATAGATGAGACATATATACATATATTAAAGATCCCTTGCTTTTATATTGAATACATAGATAGATGGAGACCTTGTTCTTGATCGTTTCATCACAAGATAATAATGTATATGATTGAAAGGTTGATAAAAATCGTTTGTTATTTATTTTTATATGTTTATACAAGAGCTTAGCACTTACTCACACCAATAACGAGGCCACGAAATCATTCTCTTGCGCGAGGAAAAAGAAAAAGAGAAAGTGATCTTCAAAAGTGTCTGTTCATTGAAAAAAAAGAATGTATTTGATAAATGGACTATGATTATTTAAATGTCTTGTCGTTTAATAGCGAAGAAAAAGTATATGTGCTCGTCTGATATCATCATCATATTGGTAAGATAGATTCACTCATCTCTTCATATATGCATATGCATATGTTAAAGCAATGAGCAAAACGATATGTGCACATCATACGATGTAACATTTATCTATATGATGTATCATCTAAATGGTTTATGAGAAGTGCAGTATATATTTGAACCATACGAAAAAAACAGAAGTTATACTGCTCGCTTTTTTTTTCATCGTGCTTATGGGAGATTAGATCTATATTTCGTAGAGAAAAATATGCGGTGGAAAAGGTATGTATAATTTTGGCTAGTAGAATTTCAATATTGAAATTAATGAAATAATTATTAAAATTATTTTCAATTAAAAAGAAAACTGTTCAACATAATGTAGAATTTTCTTTCTCATATGATTCCTGCAAAACAAATAGTTTTTCTATCTTGATCACAACGAAGTATAATGTTTATTCGAAGGCTTTATTTTCATAAATCAATTTTATAATTCTTGAAATATTCAAGTCAAAGAAGATTTTTTTCCCTAAAAAATAATTTTACAGACAGTCAAGTCCTTTATAAATTTTTTTTACTGTTCAATATTTGTTTATCAAAATATCAAAAGTATTTCGACTATTCAGTTTCATCGATATCCATTTTCCATTATTAATAATTCTAATTCTAATTCTATTTCTATTTCGCGAAATAATTTTAAAACAACGTTCTTGTTACATAGATATAGACCAGTGAAATACATATATATAAAATTATAAGAATTAGAAAATATCCAGCAGTGACATCTAAGAAACAATCATTCCATTATACATTTATTTTATAACTCGTTGACTTCGATCAAAATTCAAGTTAGTTTTTATCTGAATCCAAATAATTCATTGACTGATTTCTTCGATCACAATCTAATAAATGAATAGATAAATTAAATGAAATTCTTTCTATTTCTAATTTATTTAGATCATTGCGTATGTCAACGAAAAATCGTGCTTATAATCCTATGTGTGAAGATGGATACGATAATAAAGTTTCGTTACATAATGATGAAGAATTTCAACATGGAATTCGTTTTAAAATTAAAGTAATGAATATCAACAAATCTATTTATTCAAAGAACATTTTAATGTTTTTTTTTTTAGTTCATTGGTTCATTAGAAGTTCCAAAACCCACAAGTCGTGGTGAAATTGTAGCCGACATGCGTCATATCCGTGTAAGTGCATAGATTTATTTTCAATCACTATTGATCATAGTTCACAATTTAGTATGAATTCAAAACAAGAGCAATTAAAAAACGCCCCGCTTATTTATTAATATCAATAGATGGAATTCAAGTTTGTTTAAAGAAAAAGAATAAAGTAATATTTAATAAAAATTATTTTCAATGGAAATCTTATTCTTTTCTTTTTTTGCCATTTAGAGAAGTCCTTATTTCGATGATGATAGAACTATTCTTACGCAATATCCTATCAATCGGTAGAACAACAAACAATCTATAATTTATTCATAATTGCTGTTTTTTTCTTATATTCTAGAGTGTTTTATGTCTCGCATGATAGTCAAGATTTAAAGATTTTCAGTTTTATAGGACGTGATAATACTACTAATGCATTTCGTTGTAATGTCTTCAAAGCATATAAAACGGTAAATAATATCTTGTTTTTTGAATCACTGTACCCGATGAAAAATAAAAATATTTTGATAATGTTCATTAAACAACAAACTAACAACAGTAAGGAGTCATAAATGTATAAAATTTTCATGAATGAGAATGTTTGAAAAAGTTCTTTTTACCAAATTTTAAAATAACTAGAATTTTCAAAATAGATTTTCGAATATTAGATATTTTAAAATATAAATAGAGCAAACAATTTCGCCATTTGCCAATGATTGATTTTTTTTCATGTTGTAATCGAAAAATTGAAAATATTTGAGTATTAAATCAATTGCGGCATGAACTAGTTCAATTCGAAAGTTTCTGCTGACAATGTTTGAGCTTAAAAATTTGACATTGTATTTGTAAAAAATAGAAACTCATTAAAATGATGAGAATCCAATAGCTAACGTTTATCGATAAGAGTCCTTTTAGCCTTTCTCGGATCGTAATAGAGAATATCTGATGAGATAAGATCGATCTCAAAAGTGTATCCATTGAAAGTGATCAGATATATTTCTAATAGAAATTTAAAAGGAAAATGATATTGAAATTAAATTGATGAAACTACATTAACTAATATAAAATTTAAAACACGATAACTTTCTCATATAGTTCCGATAAGTGTGCATTTCATATGATTTGCACTTCTATGAAGATTAATCCAATTTTTACAAAACAACCGAGACGTCAATTGTAGCTTGAGCTATTCTTTTTATTGAAACAATAAAAAACTTCATATTACTGACAAACCAAACAAGAAAAAGAATTTTAGACCAAATGCAAGTTTACATTAAAAATAAATTTCATATTATTGAACAAATTTTCATTGTAAATTCGAGTTTCTTTTCGTTTATAATTTACTTTGACATTTGAATTATCAGAGTCAATTGTGAATAATGGTATCGACCATTTTTGTAAAAAACAATCTATTCTGAAATTCTCTTGATCGATTCTCAATAGATCATATTGATTAGACGGTTTATTTAAACAGTTTTCATTTTAGAATGAAGCGATTCATATAGTCCGTACGATTGGTCAAGCGTTCGAAGTTTGTCATAAATTCTCTTTACAACAAACATCAACGAATACTCTAAAATCTAGTCCGTCTAATACAAATTTTGCTCAACAAGAAAATAGTTTGTTTGCGAAAAGAAAGGATTTCAAAATAACTTTTATTCTTATTTAGAAATTCCAGAATCAAATGTGGATGCAGTAGAAAAAACGGAGCGTTATTTACAAAGTGTTCAAGTTCCAATTGTAATTAAAACATATTCGGTTGTAAAGAAAAATAATGAATGGCTTATTTTAAATTGATTTTAGTCATCAGTAAATAAAGAAACAACGGTACTTCAATCTTATTCATCAAGCGAATTTACACTCAAACATCAAATGCAATTTATGCAAGAACAATTACAACAAGTGCAGCATGAATCTGAATTAGCATTCAATCAAATTAAATTAGTAAAAGAACAATTAAATATTGAAATTACAGCAAGAACTGATGCACAGGTACTCATTCATCCTTTGTTCCGAAATATTTTATATTAAATGAATATTTATTTTTAGAATAAAAATAAACAATTAATTGAACGAAATCGAGAATTATTAACACATATTCAACAATTATTAAATTATACACATGAACTTGAAATAAAGTTAAATAAAAATGAAAACTTGAAGATGTTGAAGGTATTGAATTTTTATTCTAAAATAAATAGATTCACGGATTAAACATCATGACAACATTCTTAGTGTCAACAAAGACATTTCAACGGTTTATCTTTAGATTAATAATGATAACGATATATTCATTTATTTCTTCATAATTTATTTCACACACTGTGACAAAACAAAACAAGAAACATTTATAAAAGAAATTTTGTCTCGATTCAATCCATATAATAATGATTTTGTTTTTTCAGTAAAAGTACAATTTCAAAGTGTTAGTTAGTTGGGTAATGATTTAAATGAATCTACTGAGTTGAAATTTCCTCTCATACAAATACCTTTGCTAGTTTAAATATAAAAGATACTAGAGATTATTAATTTCAACAAATTATACAAACCATTGTGAGATTAGATCAAATCTACAGAATATTGTTTTCTAAATGAAACAGTCGTTGTGCAAGTCAATTATCGACAATCTTCTGTGAATAGTTTTCTCATACGAATGAATTCTAGTAAACACAAAATCTTGCTTCTTTCGAAAAAACAAAAACTATAAAAAATTGTAAAATGATTGTTTCAACTAATTAATCTATATTATTCTTAGGGCATTCCATCACGTCCAACGGATTTATTTCTTCTTCCATCGTTATTTTCAACTTTAACTACTTCTGGTTCTACAAATGGAACTTCGAATCAACAAGATTTATCCAGTGATTCACCTGATTCTGGCAAAGGACAAGAAATATCCTCAGCAAGTATTTCAGATGCCTTTCTATCAAGTATTCAAGATCAACAAGTAACTAATTCATGGAACAATAATATTAATAATAAAACCAATATTAATACCCATAACAATTGTACATCAATACTTGATGATGTAACAAATCAATCAATATCGATAAATGAAACGGTAAAGAATTCAAAAAAAAAGATAAATATTTCTTTTATCCTCTATTATTGAATGATTTTGTTTTAGATTTCCAAAAATAATAAAAGCGATTGCGAAGATTATTCTTCCACGTCATCTGATGCTTCAATAAAAATATCAAATAAAAATCATATTGAACATTATATTTATGATCATATAATCCCAACAGGATCATCGTCGTTTACAAACTCAGCCTTTACAGGAAGTTCATTAAATACATTAAATAACTGATTAACCTAGAAAAGAGAGAGTTTAGATAACTGTCTTTCATTATCATCGTTGATTTCTTACTCGGTGTGTGTGTATAATTCAATGCACACAAATGGTATTCTATATGTAATAGAACTTGATTCTCTCTCTCTCTCTCTTTTTTGTATCATGTCAGATATGTTACTCTGTTTTCAAAAGAACTTTTTGCTTATAATTTTAGAAATAAAATAATAAAAATCTTAATCAAACATTTTTATTTCAATTATTATGTAAACATTAGCATACATCATTTTCATTTTCAAATTTATCATCGTTTCATCAATAATATATACATGACTAACATCATGTAGTAACAAATACAATCTACGCCGACTGTTATGAATCATAGATTCAATATTTAAGACCAATAATGAGTTTTATTTTTATTCGTATTCAAACAATCATTAAATTGAAAATAACCGCAGAAAATTTCATTACAACTAGAATTAAATCAACACTTGACGTAAGCATGCTAGTCTTTTTTCTGAATAGAATGACTCATCGTTGAGTAATACAACGAAATATTCAACAAAATAAAGTATTCAGATGTATCTTTAACTATATTCGTCGAAAAACAAACTATGCAATGATAAATAATAACTTTCAAAGAAAACTCTATGATTTTCACTTTCATAACTGACAATTAATAGTTTGACATATTCCAACATGTGTATCTTATTCATAATTGGCGAATTATTCTTAATTCATTTCAAGTGATTATGATATATCTAATAATTTTCTTGTCGATGGATACCAATGATACAACTTAGTGTTTTCCCCCTCATTTCTCTTCTTTAAAAGGAAGCGAATGACTGGCAATCAAGTCTAGCTTACAATAGCAAATGAAATTAATTTGTATGACATTTGAAAAATCCTGCATAGTTTTATTACATCAAGAACATGTTCATTATCTAGGCGTACAAAGTAAAATTTGTATTTGTGAATTAGGGGTGACCCTTTATCTTTATTTTCCTTTATACTAAAGGATAAAGATAAATGAATCCGTTATCTTTAGAAAATAAACGTAAATGATTGAAAAAGCATCTATAATTTAGTTTTTTAAAGATACATGTATCATTTACGTTTAGAAGATAATAGAAAATGATTGAAACAAAATTTATCATTTATCTTTATACAGTAAAGTAACACTAAATGACCATCCCTAGTGTGGATGCACACAATGATTTCATTTTTAAAGTTTGTATTTCTTATAATAGATTCCTTTCGAATTAACAATTAATTAGAAATATTTTTCTGATCTATCTCTCTGCACTTTTTGTACGTCTACATGGCTATATAAGATGATAATCTACCTCAAACTATTATCAAGTGTTAATCGATTTAGACACAAATATACAAGATATGAGCAATTATTTCGATGTAAAAAAATGCTGCCATTCGCCCTGGGTTTTATCATTGTTGATAGCTATTGCTTAAAAATATTAAAATGTTACACACATAAAATGAGAAAATAAAAATAAAATTTTAACTCCTTTACTAACCATCTTAGTAGCAGATAGAGTAAACACATACGAAAATATGACCAATTAAGCTGTGATAATCCTATTCATATTCCATGCCGGTAACCCAATTTTGATGAGGTATATGCCAAAAGTAATTGGTAATACATTAGGTATGCAATATTAATCAAAATTAGTTAGATTAACAATATATCGTAAAGATTTTATGTGACAGAATCGGCAATAAGATTCAGTTAAATTCATTCATCTGTTGATTTCAATCTAAAAATGTTGTTTACTCGACTTTCGGTGATGCTTATTGGAAAGTCCGTTTCAATCCAACTCTAAGTAGAGATTCTGCAGATTAGTACTTCAAATAAGAAATATGTACTTATCCTTGAAATTCAAAAATTTTGTTTTTCAATTAGAAAAAGGAAACATCGAATAGTTCTTATTCGCCGGATCCGGTTGTTGAAACGGCGCAATCCAGATTTCATACCTGGATTAAAACAGCTAAATTCCGGCTACGTATCTAGATCGGAAAAATACTCCGGAATCCTGCTGTAAATGAAAACCGTATCCGCTTATCGGTTCCGGAATCAGGAGTTAGCGGGAAATACCCTGGAAACGGAGATCGGATCACTTTTCAGAATACTGCTTCCGGAATTCGATGGAAAATCACCGGATCAGACTGTTTCCCGCCGTACGTATTTGGCCTGGGTAAGCGCTACACAAGAATCGGAAGTTTGCAAAAATGCTGTCTATCACGTGCGTAAATATTGAATAAGCTGGGTTCTCTTTATATTATTTCACTGGAAAAAATCTGATCGTAGGATTTTAGTGGAAAAATAATTAAAAAAAAACTATTATTTATAATTGTAAAACATTCAAGTCTTAAGAGCGATTGAACTGCTCGATCTGCGCTAGAGAAAAAAAACTATCTTGTGAGTGTGGGTGTTGTCTAAGTCATTCCAGGCACACCCACACCAACATTCTTGAAGAACTGAATCAATAAATAAATAAACACAAAATCCTCTGACTTGCAATAAATTGACCAGAATCAGTTTTATTTTCATTCAGTGTTTAAAAGAGAAAAGTGCAAGAATAATAACAACCAAGCTTCTTACGATTGTATCATGGTCGTGGTTTACCGCAATTTCCTTGTGAACAACAAGTACTTTTGCCTGGATTTCTGAAGGCCACACAAGACATGACATTTTTGTTGCATGTTGCACAATTGCCCCCTAGAAATTAGAACTTTTCTTTTTTTGAAAATATTAGTTAAATATATGTTTGCAAAGAAAATGTCCCATTTCGAGAAGATGATTAAAACAGCACTTCTTTTTCAAAGGCTATGCTTGTGACGAGAATATTCTACCAAGGCCTATACTCGACTTACATAAGAGGACCCAACTGGCCGCTGTACAGCCGTGTGTCTTGTAACAAGCATCGTGGATATCGCAACATAATCCCTTATTTCCACAACTGTTTACGACTGCATCACAGCCATGGTTATCCTTCATAAGTTCATTCAAACGTTCGTTATCCAGTAATAAATCTGAACTATATGTTGGAAAAATTCGGGCACAATTGGCAAAGCCAATCAAGACTATGACAATAGCCACTAAGAATCGGGTTGTAAACATAATAAGAACCAGTTTTAAGATATGATAAATCTACAAGAAAAAGAAAAAGAGAACACATAGTCTTTATTCAAACGCACTATTTTTCCAATGGAGGTTTAGATACTTTATCATATTTCCAATGAGATAATCGATGTTCACTCTAGAGTGATACAATAAACACATGTTCAACGAAATAAATTTAGTTGAAACACTCCTTATTACTTCCGTCTATACGCCACCACTTTTGATGCTCTGCTCGATAGTAAAAGACACTATCAAATAAAGAGACTATTTGTGTCCGAAAACAAAACGGAAGGCACTGCTTAAGAACAGATGTGTGTATTTCTCAAAACAGTTTTTCTCCATTAATGAGTGGGCTCGAAAATTGATAACTACGTGCATTATGGGTTACACTTTAACAGGTATTTATCTTGAAGCAGCTGCACTAGTTTCTTTGATTATTTAAAATAAAACTATTCTCTGCCATGATAGATTTATGGATTTGCAATATTCATTTGATTATAGCGAATATTGGTTTCTTGTTTGTCCATATTCGAAGATACATCTCTATCATAATGATATTTGTAAGATCATATACGATGAAAATATGAATAGCCGTATCGACTGACTTGAGCAGCGAATCACTAAACTATGCTATCATGTTTTTCTTCTACTGGCACAACAAATTTTTGAGGATAACTGAAATAATCGCTATTTTACCCACCATATAGTGTATGCATATGGATGAAAAGAAGCGTATCACCATACTTAGCCTTTCGGTACATTACTTTCATACGTTTAAATAAGTTTTTCTTATTTCCAAATCGCTAGGAAAAGTCATGAATCATAAAAAAATTAATAAATATCTGTTCGAACAAAAAATTAATATGTATTCCGATTACTATAAAATTTCCAACTGTAAACTAGAAATTAATTACCATTTAGGCAAAAACATAAATCACTTCAGTTACACTATCTTGTAAAAATATCAAGCAAATTTTAGATGATCGATGGCTAACGTTTGTTTGCGTATCTCAAAGATTCATATTCAGAAGCCAGAATGTTAAGAATATTTGAGGATTTGTAATATACATCTAAACGTATTCGATCTTTAGATAACGGCTTGTATTGAAAGAGTAGAATATGGAATATTCTCGCCGATCTCAATCAACGAGCGTCTTGCTACACTGTAACAACCTTTCGAATTCTGTTGAACTCTACTTTTAAAGTATAACACAACTAAAAGCGCATATTATTTGTAAACTGTACGATTAATCATACTTTATTATATCCAACTTTAATTCGTTGTGATGTTTCTTTTATTTGCCGTTGTTTGCTATTCGTCTTGTTTTTGCAAGATTATAAAGAAAGAAAAATAAAGAGCCATTTAAGAGCAAAGAACGGTATTCTATGCGCTATTTTACTTGTCATCTTAGTCGATTTTGTCTCGCCGCTTGGAGTTTTCCTCTTAAATCATTATTGAGGTCTCGGTTGGAATGCGTGAAGGATTGACTAATGGATCTTATAGCACACTATATTTTGTAAAATTGTTCACAATCTAAAATTATAGTTTAGACATTCTCATCATATCAATATTTCTTCATATTTATGTTCATGGAAGTTTTTTCTATTGTAATACAATATATCTACACAATGCTGTCACAAACATGTTATGAAATTAAGTAGTATTACAACGGTGAGCTCGCATTACTAATGTAAATGAGACAGAAAAATCTTCAACACTTTTTCATTCTTCTTCTCAAAGTTCATTTTAGATCTTCGGTTCATATATACATATTTCGAAGTCAATAGTTTAGTAACTGATTAGCAAGCAGCTTGATATTCTTCAATATTCTTCTGACCGACGGAAAGAAGGGTGGATAGATTTTCAAGTATCTAAAAAGTGGTATTGTATAAGATCTTTCAAATTCTTGATCATGCTTGGTTCATATATGCATTCAAATGTTGCTAACATAGTTTATTTAAAATATATGTCTGGAATGGAGCGGACATATACACTCGATGTAGAACCTTCTATGATAGTTCAACAACTAAAACGTTATATTCGTGAGAAGACAGGTGATGATAATGATAGTTTTCAAAAAATGTCTTTATTGTTTAATGGAAATGTAATCGATGATGACAACAAAACACTTCAGTATTATGACATAAAAGAAAAAACTCTACTAGAATTACATGATTCAAGTGGAAATTTGGGTGATATTGGTTGTTTGGGAATGAAATTTGCCGATGTTAGCACCAGTGATGCTTTAAAACGCTGTATATGGTCGAAAAAAGAGTCACATTGGCGAAAAGCTGCACGCGGCTTATGTCTTGAAGGTATATGTAATAATTCTGAATGTAACGCTTTCAAACAACAACTTATCATATCAATCGGCTACAAAAAAATCGATGTTGTAAATGACGCGGATGAAACTACAGTTATATGTCCAGAATGTGAACAGTATGTTGAACCAAATATATGTGGATTCAATAATTGTTGGTGACGATTTGAAGGTAAAAAGATTGAAGATGGCAAACCGCCAAAGAAATGTTTAAGTGATTGGAAACATGTTGATGATGCAGACCATTATTTCGATGATAAAGAGAGTCCTATGGTTACTTGGAGACAATTGATACTGGAAGTTGTGAAAGAAAACCCAAATTGTTAATTTTAGAATAATTGACTCGAATTCAGTACGTAGGAATATGGAATAATAATATAATTATTTATAACTTTTGTTTGGTGCGTGAAACACATATTTTTAAATCTAGATTCTGAAACCAACATGGGAAGCTACATGATTCATGTGGTTAATTCCATTCTGACTGTTATCTTCATCAAAATCATCTGATTAGTTTTCATTGTTGTCAGTATTTCACATGAGATAGCATATTAAATTTAAAAAGCATAGATATTGCTATGCATAATAACCTTCCATGGTTCCAATCTGTGATTTGAATAAGAGTTGTATTGTTCGCTTTTGATAAACTATAGCACCATATATTTGTCTGCTAACTTGAAATTGTAGAGTTGACACTCATCCAGATCTTAAAATCTTCTCTACTTTCTTAAACACGTGACATCTAGAGATTAGACAAATAACACAATATAATAAAGTCTACATCGAGGTTTTAGCACCTTCGTTTTCAGATTATATGTCTTCGAGATAAATCTTTTAACTATCTACAATGAGTTGGATCCGTAAGTACCAAAATAAGAAACCTATGAACCATTTATTATTTTTCTGTCAATGAAATAATTTATAAAAAACTACAAATCTTGAAAATATCTCGAACTACTCAGTGTAGGATTTTGATTATTAAGAAACCTGTTTGTTACACAGGTGCTTTTCAAATTCAAATTTACCTTATACTATGATACTCAAAGCTTAGACTCAGGAATAGATGCTCATAAAGGAGATAGACATAATGTAGAGATAAATTTCGAGTGAGAAACCCATAAGGATAGAGAAAACATGGCTGCATTCTGTGTAGTTTTCTATAAAATCGACTGCTAATCCACTTCATAATATTCTATGATGAACGTTTGAAAACAAAGTGAAACTGAAATTATTCTGGTCGTTACTGTAGAGACTCACAAAGGGTTCTATTCAATAGAAGAAATATATTTATACGAAAATAAAACATTTCATGATAGCTTGGAACAATTGAGAATGTCTTGTTTTGCAACAGTAGAGCAATTTATTATTGCACTAGAAGACATTCATTTAATTATTTTATGTTATGTGGTACTTGTAGACAAGAAATTTTTCAATAGATTAATAAATTCGCTCCTTTCAATCTGTGTATCAAGAGCTTTTACTGGAAAGTTGACTTCGCGGTTATCAGACTATTTCTTTGAACGCATGGAGGAGCAATCCTTCTTATCTAATAATGCCGATCATCTTGATTCGTAGTTACATTCAATACTTGCATTAGCCTGTATTTAATACATCGATAATTCGACAGGTATCCTGCGATCCTATCGCCACACTAATCAATTTTGAATGATCACTAAGCGAAATATCGAAAAGCATACATCAGCATAAAAATTCCTTATCTTGAAACATGATGAAATAAATGACTCGCGCATTCCAACATACTCATAACAAGATAGATTCTGATTTTGATTTACCATAAAAATTCGATGGAAACATTATTTTTAATTCCGATCAAAATGTTTCATTGATAGAAATGACAACACAAGATAAAATCATGATTAAAAAGAATTGACATTTCATTTCAACCAAATTTCTTATTTATCAGCAGCAACGCTATACATTGTTCGGAAAAGAGGTATATTATTTTAAAATTTTCGACAAAAACGATCTCTTTTTCTTTGGTTGATCTGATTTTGCATTTTTTCGCACCGGAAACTTGATTTCAATATGCTCAATACCAGATTTACTGATCGATAGACCGCGTTCGTTTTCGACTCGTTTCAAAAAATTATTCATTGTTTCACCGGTCGGTTTGATTTCAAATGGTACAGAATTTGGTTGATTTCTCATAATAACTGATGCACCGCCTGGCAATCGATTATCCTTCGATTTTCGCTGAGTATCATGACCATTTTTGTTACTATCATTATTTTTATTATTACCATCCTCCTCATCCTCGTCTTCATCCTCATCATCATCATCACTATCATTATATTTATTAGTATTTATGTTGCTGTTATTATTGTAGCTCATTTTTAAGTGCCTGGGAGTAGCGTTACTCGGCGATATGCCGCGTTCATTTTCGATTGGTATCATAACACTATTCATTGTTTCACCTCCTGATTGTGTTTTCATTGGTGAATAATTTGATCGATTAGTCATTTTAATATTCGTATTTTTATTTGGAATAGAAATTGAAATATGCTTCTTTGAGATTAATGGATCAATTTGAGCTTTAGTACAAATTTCTTGCCAAATCGTAAGACGTGACTTATGCATAACTTGCGGATACACGACGCGATGAATGCCACATTTGAAACAATTTTTTGTCAAAATACTTGCTGCTTCACCTAACCAGATGACACCAATCGCATTTTGTTCAATTTCAGAATTATTTGGTCCATCAATCCATTTATCTTGTAATTGATCATACAACTGAAGTCCTTCACACGTAGATAGAATACTTAATGAAAAAAGACCTGGATCAAAATGTGGAACACAATTGACTTCGTTCGTATTTAGACCAATTTTAGGCTGATGTTGAGGTCCTGCTTTTTTATTAAAATAGTTTACTATATCGAGCATACCCAATCCAGATAACTCTACTAAATGATCACTGGAATTTTGCCTAAATAAGGACATATTGAATATGATCGTTTTTAAAACATTGGTTAAATTGTGGATCAATATTGCTAGGTATTGTAAAGCTTGCTCTACATCGCTTGTTAAACGATTATGGAAATTCCCAAGACCGTTCTGATCAATTAATACTTTAATACCTTCTTTATGATCAACGTGTGAGTAGCCAATAGCATTGGATGATTCATACCGAGACTTTACCTCTTGACTTTGAGCGAAAAAAGCCGAGAGAACTGTTTGTACTTCTTTTAGTTTATTTGTTAATTGATCATATCCATTGGGTAATCGAATAAAACACCAACCATTAGATTCAAATTCATTTTGCAATCGATTTATTTCCTTCGAATCACTAAGCAAGACTCTATCAAAATCGACTAGTGTATGATTGTTAAACATCTGTTTACTTGCCACCAAAACGACTTAGAAAGAAAGAATGACGATGCAGAATCGGCAACATCGACATTATGGTTGGTTATTATGACTGCCTGTGTCATACAGCGCTCTAATATGTTATTACTCAATCAAAGGTAATTATGCAAACAGAGGTATGTATTAACTGCTAATAGTTTGAATTAGTACAGCTTCGCCGAATTTTATTTTCGCCGACTCCAACTTCGCCGAATAAAAATCTTGACCGAAAAATATCGAATCAAATTTGATCCATTCTAGATATAGAATTTTATCCTAACTAACTACTCTAATGGTGACTTGATTAATTAACCCCATCTGACTTGGTAACCCGCACACACACCCACACCCTCGTATTCATTTCTATCAACAGCTTTGTATGATCAAATCATATTTGTAGAGATGCTTTCTTGATTTAACAATAGACATGCAAAAATATAAATAGTTCGTCATAATTCGAGTATAGGATGCAAAGGAGAAGAAATAAATAGATGTATGTTAGACGCTACTAATTCTCACCAGCACTCATTATAAAGTTTAACCATCACGAATATTGTCTGTCAAGATAATTTTTCCAATGAATAATATACGAATCATTATGATATTACACACCAAGTGAAAAAAAACGAACTTGCTTTGTAAAAGTACTACTATTTCACTAGAATATTAGAAAAAAATCAAGCCACCAATACGTTTCATAATCTATAGATAGTATCAGATATGAATAAATCAGCGAGTTTTCGACATGAATTTTATATTGATACTTTTAGCTAAGCCTTAGTTCTATGGTACATATAATTGCTGACTATATTAAAAGTAAGTAAGAATATATTTTTTTATGTATTAGTCTATTTTCTAACAATAGAGTATTTTATATTTAACCAGTACTATTCATTGTTAAATGAAAAGATTAAAATCCATGACAACGGAGACAGCAATTTTCTTTCTTCGCTCCCATGCTACTTCAATCTTTCCTTTTTGTTAAAAAAAATCTTTAATACTGCTTCAACGCTATTATCATCTTCTTTTTCAAATGAATGAAAGAATTTTCTTTTCTCTTCCATTCAGATCTGATCTGAATACAAATATCACTGTTGACAATTAACTTGGAATATTTTATTTAATCAAATGAAATAATTCTCCTATTGTATTCAATTTTATTAGTATCAGCTTTTTAAACAATCAACTCGGGAAATTCTGTTCGTTGCGTTTTTAAAACGTTGTGAATACTGTTTGCAGAAGGCTATTACAACTACAAATACGGAATTCTAAGTAAAAAGTCTGCAGAAAACAAAATCGATTCGTCTATCAAGTAATTCATAAGATTTATATGAGCGTGAAAGTAAAAATTTTTCTCATCGCAAAAAAATCGACAACAATAATTAAACTACATCTGATATCCGAAATAAAATATGGAAAATAAATGACTATCATCCTGAAACAAAAACTTTCTTAAGAATTTCGATACGATGAAATGTAAAGAATTACGATCTCATAGTAGATCTTTTTTTTTCTAGTACATTATCTATTCTGAGAATGGATATATTTATATCGGTCAATGACTAAAAGATTTTTCGTTGTTTCCAATATTCTTGTTTAGTTATTTGCCAACATTATTTTCTATTATATATATGTATTTGTTTCGTGACTGACTGTTGATATCATTACACTATATAAACTGAAATTTGAAAATTTGATATGATTTTCTAGCTTATAATCATCTAATAGCTACCTCGTTATATTGCATAATCGTATATCAGTTAAGTTTTCGTTTTAATATAAAATTAAATGTAAACAACACTCATATTTCGAATCCCATATCCTCCATTGAATATCGTTTCCAATTCATGTAAGAAAGAAAACGTTGACCTTGATGCATTATGACTAAAAACAAGCAGCCATTACATGTCCTACATGCTTATGAGACTGATGTAACATAGAATCTACGGTAATTATTATTGATGGCACTCCGTAGTGGTTATATTTATCTTTTCCATATCAAAGAGTGTCAACATTGAGCAACAAAGGAACACATCTATGTTGAAAAGAAGGCAAGAGCAAAAGCTGTAGAAATCGTTGTAACCTTGTTCGTCTTATTATGATTGCGTATTTCCAGTTTTCTTTTACATATATCAACGATGAGTTAATTACACTTTCTCATATTTTGCAATACATTTGAGAATAAAAAGACAATTACCGCACACGCGCATGTTAATAACTTAGTTAGAGATAGAATGTTTGGTTTTTTATTCTTGACTGAATTTTCTGTTAGATAGACGCTGGTATATCTGATTTCTTTTGTTGTACACTCCACTATATGATGCTAAAGAGGAAAAAAAGTAATGAACCTTACGTCATCATCGTCTGTGATTATGACGTAGAATTTAATCTGATGTCGTACAATAATGCATTGTATATAGTTCCAAAGACTCATTTCTACTTTCTTTTGTTCGGCACGTCGTAATAACGATTGTCGGGCATTGTATGTTCTTGAAGCGGTTACTGATTTTTCGGAGAATAGTACAATACTTGATTGGCAGGTGTTTGTCGGAGATCAGCTACAGCTGTTTGTTGTTGCTCTTCTGGTAATAAGAAGCTACTTATGATGAGATATCATGCTGATGTGATCAAGGTTATATTGTCACTCTTCAATGTAACATATATGAACCTATAACTTCCACTAATAACCTTTTCTTTTCGATTTGCAATGATGACGATGATGGTGTCCGTTTGTTCATTGATTGAATGTGTTTGTGTCTTTATTTCCTCCAGTAGAGAAAGATCTAACATGATTGTACGGTGTACCGCCAATGGCACTATTGCTTTGCTCACGCAATCTTATTTTCTGTTTTCTATCATTTTTTTTCTATGTAGATTACGTGCACTAGAATTAGCCGACACAATTTACGACATATGAAGATGTGAGGAAAGAATCAATCTGCTCACAGATGCTCAAAATAAGCAAGTATACAGGCTTCAGACAATTTAAGCGGCATTGTATTGATGATTCATCACTGTAATTATGAGCAAGTGCTTCTTGATTGTTCTTATAGAATTTAAATTTATATCAACGAGATATATACTCATATAAACATCGAGAATCGAAGCAGTCGTCTTTGAATGGGTCACCGATTGTCTTTCTCATCATTCGTTATGAACTATGATGAGAAAAGATCAGTTACAGCTTTCGTTTTGTACTTTTTCCGTCAAATAAATGATTCGTATCATAAAACGCGTGAGTGTCTTTGAAAAAACAAATCTTTCTAATTAGTGATATACTAGAGAAAACGATCAAGATCGATATATTACGATCAGTAATTGAAAATAATGAAGAAAAATTCAAACGATGTGAATCTTTTGCTCTCTCTTGTCAAACAATAAGCACGTATACTACACTTCATATACACAGATATATATTATACCAATGAGATTCATACATACGTACGTGATACATTAAAGATGATTGATAGTCTGTAAAGTATTCTATTTTGAACTTAAATAATAACAGATATTTGTTTATTTATTCTTTTTCCCGATTTTAAATGATATAGATCTAATCGCCTTTTCCTCATCTTGTTATTGTTTTGATTTCAATCTTAATCATTTTTATGTTGCATATTTTTTCAACCTGTTGCCACTCTATATATTTCATTTGTCGAGACGATTTATGAGTATTTAATACGAGAATATATATCTTATGTATGTGTCAAACGAACATTTAATAGCAAGTATAGAAAGCGAATTTAATGAAGTCAAAGTTCATCAAGATTGAACAGATGAATGACTTTGTCTGGTGTTCGATTGAGAACATATTATCATTTTTTCTCATTCCTGTTTGCTATTATGTTTGCTTTTTTTATGAACAAAAATTATCGTCTGTATTATATCAGAAAAAAAAATCGATGCTTGTCTTGTGCTGTCAGTCTTTTTTGTAATTTGAATGATATATAACGACGAGTCTTTGTAATTATGACAATCAAGCTAGATAAATACTACTATTGTTCCGTGTTGTATATACCGACGTTTCATGTCAATTGCATGTACTTGAAAATCGAAGTGTAGTACTCAACATTCAGAGGCAAAATGAGGAGAAAAACGTGGCTTTTCCTATTTCTCTAAATTCAATATTTATTTTAGCTAAGCGAATAAAATAATAGTGGAAATAACTGACTGTCTCATAGAGTGCATGCAAGAAAACGCCTCATTTATTTGTTTAATCAAGTAAGCAAATAAATGAAATGTATATTTGAATTTTCATAATTATATATAGACATTTGTATATATAAAATCATTTCTATGTTGCGCTATAATTATTCTATGCTTTTCAATTACACAATAATGTATTTTGATGTAAGGAAATCAGCTTATACACACATATATATATATATATATTTATATACATACATATCGCTATACAATATACTAAGCTTCTAGTTTTGTATATCGAGTCAGATTACACTACAAATTGAACATTCAACGTGCATGTTTTGCTAAAGTAGAAATATCATTCATCAATTAAATCATATAACATATTGAATTATGACGTGTGAATTTTTTTTTTTGATTGTCTAAATGCTTAAATTGAATGCATATGAAAGAGCCCTTAGGCGACTATAGTGTTCTCATTATTGAACTGAATATAGACATACATATTTTCAATTGATATAGTAATGATGATAGATACAACTACTAAGGATATAGATCATTAAATGTAAAGAGAAGAAAAAAGAATTTTATTAACTAAAATCTTTTTCTTGAATTGGATTCACTTAATTGTCCGAAATAAATGAAAAGTTCTATTTTTTTTCAATTAACTACTACGCGATCCTGAAAGTTACGCTTAGACAGTAGAAAAAAAACACTGAATATTTCATTATTTGTAAAAGAATTACAAACCACATTATGTCTATATTTATACACAAAAAAAAGGATTGTATTTTTTTTTCAAACTCTACTCCTTCGTTGGCTTGTCTCATATTCAATGCACTTACTACCTGATCTTGGGCGTATTTTTTTCCTTTTCTTTTCTTTTTTCTCCCATTTTCCTTCTCCTTTCCTCTCCACGGCTCTCTCTCTCCCTCTCGCTCGCTCGCTCGCTCTCGTAGTATGCAAGCAATGGTCATTTTTGGCTGCAACATCATTGACTGAACAAGAGGTAAGACGAGTACACAAATTCCTCGCATTGATGTCTAATGATATCTATAAGGAAAACATTGTTAGATCTTTGCTTCTGTTCAGGAAGAAGAAAAGACTATTTTGTGTATAATGATAATACCCAGACAGTCGGACAAAGAATTTTTTTATCTTCATATATATATATATATATATACATATATTGAACTCGTAAATCATTTTCGATCGAATTGTCTCATAAGCAGCTGGTGCTAATCAGAATTGCGTTGCCTACAAGTTCATTCACTGAATGATTAGCATTTCATCTATGAATATGAAGAATGAATTTATTTATTTGCGGGTGTTTTTTTTTTGAACCACGCCTTTCGCTGTTGCTTCCGATTGCTTTCGTTTATATTGAATGGCTATTAACGACATGTACCTTGAAAAAAATGTCTAAATCGATTCTCACGTTTGGATAGTAATGAATGATCAATGATTGATTTGAGTATCGTCTATTCATGTGCTTTTTTTCCTATACGCTCAACAGCTGGAGGTCAACGATGGCACTCAAATAGCATTTTTCATCTTCGCATGTGGATGATGATGATGATGATGATGTTGTTGATCAGCATCGTTCATATAAACTAAACGTTTATTGATGACACGCACACATTTTATATGTATATATGTATATGTAAAGTATATGTCTGGGTAACTTGTAACAGTTGGACTTCGAGCATATGTGTGAAGCCTTGTCCTAGTTTAAAATTCACTTCCTTAATGCTTGATTACATCTTCAATCGATTTATTTATCGTTGTTTTTTCATCAAAAGAATCATTTATATATTTCCGACTTCATTGAACAGAAATATCTCATATGTATAAAGAAAAACACGAGCAGGTGAAAGCGTATAATCATAATAAGATATATTTTTAACTGAAGAATATAACTTACATAGCCGATTCTCGATTGTGAACTCAAAATCAGATAATTAACAGATGAAGTAATCATATACTTTAGTTTACAATCTTTTTGTAATCAAAATACTCATATTTCGTTCATACACGCTCTTTTAGATTGAATCTCCAAAAACAAAAAGTAGAAAATTATTAAAAGATCCTACGTATTATATTCATTCAGTATTTTTTGAAAGTTACTTATTTAAAATTTTAACTACTAGTTTGCTCTAGAATATAGACTTCTCTTGTTTTTGTGCAAACATTCCACCATCTATTTTATAAGATCGATAACACAAATTGTACATATAAGTGTATCCATACAAATAGAAATAAAATAAGATTTATAGACTCATAAAAATGTCATTTAGTTGAATACAATTAATCGGTCTTGTTTCAAGTATGATAAGAATATTTTTATAAGTAATGAAGTATAACAAGTTGGTTTAGTTTTACGTAAGATAGTTTCGTCGCATGCCATCTGATCCTTTCATACTGTTTTGTCTCCTCCTCTCTTCATTATTATTGAGAATATTACGACTTTTCTCTTTCGTTCTCCCTTATGTTATTCATTCACTCTGCGAAAGTTTGACAAATGACTACTCATCTAGACAATAAAACAAAAACAAACGAAGTTCAAACAGAATGACAGGGCGGTATTCATTCGAAAGTCTAGTCTTATCTTAAAAAAGAAAAAGAGGAAGAGGAAGAAAAGATCAAATGATCAATGTTTTTTTATCTCTCATCATACATTTATACATATATATATATATATATATATACATATGTGGTAGAATCTGCAAAGTATCATTGATTTATGCATCTTGTATAAAGATCAGAGAGAACGAATAACACAAGACAAATGCGAAATCATTTGCGCTTAAAAAAATATGACAATTAGTTGCCTATCAATGATCGACAACGAGTAAATAAACCGTTAAAACAAACTGTTTGAGACCAATGAACAGAAGCATACCATTTTAAAAGAAAATCAATTTCATTTTATCATCTAGACTAGTATGAATAAGGAATGCTATGTGATAAGAAAAAACTTTATTTAAATGTATCTCAAATGAGATATCACCATAAAATTGAACAGTTTATTCAACTGGCATCTCGAGATCTTCATTGAATGCATAGTTTTTGCTTTATTCCATAGTCGTATCATAATTATTCAAGTGGATCGTATTTCTTGCCTCGCCATAGTTTTGAAATGAAATTGATCCAATTTTACATTGGTATTAGTTGAGACGGAAGAAAATCTATCGTGTGACTTGACATAATTGTAATTTAGTATTCTCTCGTGTAGTGTGTCATCATCTCTATAGATTACATTGTACTGAACATTTTTGAGATTCTTTTTGTCAGATAGTTTGTTGAAGTATGCATTTACAATTAGCTGTTCAATCTGTCTGCATGTCTGCCTGTCTCAACTTGAACATTATATTTGTCATACAATGGCAAGCACTTGTCCAACTCGACTGGCTAGTAGTCATTTTTCTCGAGTAGAGACATAGTGAACTATGAGAACTTAAAGTTACATTGACTCGTTAGGGTACGAATTGATGTTTGTTCTTTAAACTGAATCGATACATTTGTTAGAAAAAGAAATGAGAAGTTTTTATATTTACATTCATTTTCTACATTTAATGTTGACATTTGGTATTTTTTTTTATTATGTCACTGCGTGTGAATATTGTAACACATCTCTAATAGATCTATTGAAAAAAAAAAGCATGATTGTATGAGAAAAAATAAAGATATGCTTGATGAGTTCACTAAACCGTAAACGGCGACTTTTCCCCCCGTGCTTTGGCGATGATATTCGAGACAGGTCAGCATGAACGAATGTGTATGACTACTTAAGAATGATGAACATATGTTCGTAGTGCCACCCACGCATGCATCTAATTGACCATGCGAACTAGTCGACACAATGTACACACATAATCTATCCTTTAAGGCATGTCAATCCAAAGATCACATTCTTTCGTTGATTCTTCTTTTTTGAATTAAGTTTGCCTTAAGGCAGTCAGTCATCGTCCGATGGAATACTAATTAAAAATAATACAAAAAAACTTTTTTTCCTTTTGCTTATTGATTTTTTTTCATTTTCAGATATATTTCAAGAAAATGTTGGCAATCATTTTTTTATTTTTTATTTTCCATATATCATTATCGGATAGATGGTATTCAAAATCCCAGTGTACTCAAAAAGAATTCGCTAATCATATGGATATAAATTGTAATTCAAATGAATATATCCTCATTGGTTGGTCACATTATGGTACGAAGAAATCATTTCGTCGTATTAATTCCTCATCAAATTGTGAACCGTTGGAAACAGATTGTATTATGGATTATACACATAAGATAGCTGAGCTGTGTAATGGTGCATCGAAATGTGAAGTTATTTTAACTCAACAATTTATTCATAAATGTTCAGATGAAGCAACATATTTATTTATTTCTTATCAATGCATACAAAGTAACAAATACAACATATTAGAAAGGAAAAAAATGAAAATTTTTGTATATCATTGGTTTTCTTTGTAGATTCAACAATTGTTGATATATGTTCACAACGTAGTATAACTTCACTGAATGCTATAAGTGTAATTAGTCCCATGTTTCCCAACGAATATCCAAATAATATTAATTGTACTTGTTCAGTCGAATCAAAGACAAAATCTAATGTCATCATTGACGTTGAGGTAAAATAACGATTATTAGTGTTTAAAGAATAATAAAAAACTATTTTCATTTCTATATATTTTAGAGTCTTTCGTTTAATTTACAAGATAATGATAATTTATTATCATTCTCAGGAACAATACCATTTGGTGCATCATTATTAACAGTAAAAAATCAACTTGATTTAAAATTTCAAACAGATGAAACATTAAGTCAATCTGGATTTTGGATTCGTTTATATGGTAGAGAGGACGACAACCTTTTACTTTAGTTTTATTTTTATTTTTTTCTCCATTTGTTTAGGTTATGAGCAATGTTATGACGATGAATATGTTCTTGGTTCGAAATGTATAAAAGTTTTTTCAAGAAAACAAACATGGAAATCAGCGAAAGAAAAATGTTTATCAATCAACTCAGATTTAATTCGTTTAAATGATATTATTCAAGAAAAAAAGTTAGCATATTTTATTTTAACAAATAATCAACAGCAATCAACATCATTTTGGATATCAAATGAAAAAGAAAATTATGACAGTAAGAAAAATTTGTCGAGTTTATTCATATCATTTTTTTCGAAGAGTGAAGTTAATCAAGCATAGAGATCTTTATGTAGCTGCTAAGATTTTAAGTTCAATTCTGTATTCTATGAAAATCACAAAATCTAGTAGATTAGTTATAAATATTGCAGTCCGATTAACTTGAATATTTCGTGTACAGTAGCTAACTACGATCAGGTGAACGATTGTAGATAATTAATCGAACATGACTGTTGTCTATGAAACATCAAATGGCTGGGGCATAGAAATTATACATCGATATTGTACACTGGTGATGTATTTAGATTATGCCTAAAGCATTTTTAGAAGTATAAAAATCATCATAGACGAAATAGAGAGATTGTGTATAAGACGAAGTCAATCAGCATTCTTCGATTATTCTATTCGATTCTTACTAACCATTGTATTATGTTGAACTTTTTTCAATTTTTTGTTCTTTTGGACAAAAGCACACTGGTCTGATTTTAATCTTAAATGGCTGAATAATTTTTTGATAACGATTAATGATCAGTCTAAAAGAATACTTAAAATTAATTCATTGTTTAGTGAATTCATGGTGGCCATGGCGATCATCATCGAATACAGGAAAATGTGTATTACGTACCCAAGATGGTTGGATAAAACGGTCATGTAACGAAGAGCAAGCATTTATATGTGAACGAGATATAAATCGACAATCAATACCATTGACTGTACAATGTGGAAATGTTCAAAAAACAACAATGTTACCGATGAAAACAATAACCAAAACCGTAGAATCATCATTAACATCTTCATCATCACCATTACTATCATCATCAACAAAAACCACGGCAATAATAGTAACAAATGTGCCACATATAACTATTCCATTGATGATACATCAAGAAGAAGTTGCATCAAAAATTTCTGAAAAAAACTTTTTCGTTGGCCCATCATCCTCTATAGTTAAAAATGAATTAAAAGATAGAACCAATACTATCGATCCAAGTAGGAATGAAAAAATTCTTGTTAAAATAAAACTCAATACATTTTACTTTTTCTCAGATGTTCTTGCAGTGATATTAACTGGCATAGCCATCATTATATTTTTCGTCAATATAGTTGTTTGCTATATTTTTAGAAAGTAAGAAATTAATAGATTTATTTCAAAATTCAATCGATTTATTCATTCATGTATTTTAGGCGTCCACAAGATCCATCAAAATTTACAGCACAACATGATTCGAGTTCATCATTTATTCATGAAGAACTACAACATAGTCTGATGCAACATATCTATCATGAACAAACAAATACCATTTCATCAAGATCAATATCATCATCTTCTTCAAAAAATTCGCAATCAAAATCAAATGATACAACGACAACAGCGTCGACAAATCTTTTTCAATTGTCTTCAGTTATTCATCCTTCTAATTCGTTTCGAACAGATACTGCTTCAAAACCTTTATGTTTTCGAAATCCGCATGTCTGCAATGATTCAGTTGATTACCATGTTTACGAAACTATACCATCAGAATATCCTATCTATACCTTTTGCGCCGCTCATAGTGCTTTCAAACCAGTCGTTCAATCGAATACACATACTATTCGGCCATATCTTTCACAAGCAAATACTCTTCAGCGTCATCTGTCTTCTTCACAACAGTCTTATGATAAATTATCATCTATTCTACCAAATGCGACTGTTGTAATGCCTATCTGTTGTCATCTTTATTCATCACAATATCCAACAGAAACTTTAAGGCAAAATTTGAGTGCAATATCAGCACAAGTTGAAACACAGGAGCCAATCTATAATCGTTCGGAAAGTATTGTATAAACAAATCAAACTGAGAACACAATATGACGTTGTCAGTTCATTTTTAATATTTAAAAAAGAATTACGATTTGCTTCTGTATTTTTAACTTCATTCATAATTTGTAATATATTTTGCTGGTTAATGATATTGTTTTTCTAAACGATTCTGTCTTTTTTCTTCTTTATTTTTGTTACTTATTTCTTATATTCTGCTATAAATTATATTAACTAATTATAATATGAAAATAATTTTAGCCGGATATATGAAAAGTTGACTCTAAATGAGCCATATAGTATTTACTGATAGCTCAATACATTGCCAAAGCAGAGTCTTCTTACATGAGTCATTGGAAAACATAGTTACCTATTTGGAAATAAATAATGCTAAATATATTTCAAGTTGCGTACAAAGTGTATGCGAGAGAAGTACTTTAATTTCAAATCGCACGAACAATAAGTTTTATACTCAATGAAAACTAAGTTTAAGTCAAACCTCAACTGTCAGTGTATATACTGATTGTAAAATATCAAGACAATGATTTGACACAATCATAGATAGTCGTTGATAAGAACATCATATTGCATTTGTTTTTTAAAAAATTTTGTGTGTCAAAACAGGTATGAATAGTTTTTCTTGACTATTTTTTTCAAATAGAACGTTCATAAATCGAAAAACAGAAACAGTTCTAGATCGAGGGTTTCATGAAAAATAGATAAATACTTGTCTATAATGCATATGATCATCACTAAATATGTTATAAAAAGCATCTTACTGTGTTCAAATAGAATACAATATTCAATACAATGGCTTGTTTGACATTTGGCAAGGTACTCACAAAAATTTAACAAAAATAATTGATTCAATTAGAAACACAACCAAGTATAATAGCAAATTTAGAAAACAATAACCCAAGATTTTCCTTTCAAATCTTAGGTGTTTCTAGACTCGAATGACTCTAGGTTTTTGCTCATGCCTACAATTTTTATTGATGAAACAAGAAGAGGGAGAGCAGAAAAAAAGCACGCTATCATTACCAATAAAGTTAAAATATAAATAAATTGATCATAATGAAAACAAATATTCGCACCAGTCTAATTTTCGAGTCTTCTCTGTTCGAATGCCATGGAGACTCATTACGATACTTTGAGGCCCGATATTAATTCATTATCTATGCATACTTTTTATACATTGCACGACTTGAACAATATGAAAACAACAAGAGACGTAAAAGTTTATGATCTGAAAGGACAAATTTTATCTTGAATATTTCACAACTTCAGATCATTAGTACTAAAATTATGCGTAGTATTTTATTCATTTTTGGCAAATTAACTTTGTTAAAATAATTGTTAAAAAAGAAAAAACATTCGTTTATGGAATCCGTTTTTTTCGATGAGAGAGACTCTCTATTCAAGTTTTAGTAATATACCATTGAAGTAAATACTATTCAAATAACATTGTTCTATTAGTTAATAAAGAGATTTTAACAAAATTAGTTTATCTGAAATCAATCTATTTTCATCATTTTTCTTAGATTAAATGAGACACTTATCTATGATTAACGGAGGAAGATTCATAGCTTATACTCCTAAGAAACACTTTAGTAAAACTATTCTGAAATTCTATAATGATAAACAATAAGCAATTATTTTGTAACTAAATATAACAACAAGGTTAATTATTTTTGAATTACCCTGTAGCTTATTACCGACGATTGCTTATTACAAGTATTAAATTTTTTTGTTAAATATAATTGCACAATTTTTAAAGTGTGCTAAATGTGTTACTAAGTCGTGTAATCAATAAGTAATTATTCATTAATCATAAAAACAAAAACATTCCATTCGATTGAAATAGGACGATAAATTCTATCTTTCTTTTGAAACTTAAATTTTTAATTATTTTCTATTATTTTGCATACAAACTATATTCTAAAATCAACAGCAATAAACTAATTATCACTAAATGAAGAAAAATCTCAAAACTGAAATCTAACAACAAGACTAGAAGGAATATCTTTCTGTTTACGTGCTATCATGGATTATTATGAAAATTATATTTATACTTCTTGAATTTCACTGTAGTTATTCTTATTTGAAAAGATGACATTGTTCATGACGCGTACGAGTCACTTGTAAATATTGTTAACATCAAGAAATAAGAATTTCATGAAAAACAACCTTCAGAATTTATACAGTTTGATCTTATATGCATCTCTCTTCATGAATCTATAGCCAAAGAGTTGAAATTTGAAAAAATTACATTCGATATTTTTATTTACATATATGCATAATATAAACGATTCAGTTTGTTGCTCGAAAAATGATTGAGAATGTTATAAATAAGCTGTTTTCAGTTATTTTGGCTGAACGTTTATGAAATGAAGAAGAAACAGTTCAGAACAAGTTGAATTATGAATGTATTTTATATATTCTCATAGTTCTGTGAAGCAAGCTAAAGCATACATGAGATAGAATAATACGAATTTAAAATTTTGCCAGATATCCCCTAGAAAAAAAAAACTTGACTAACTCAAGCATTGAACTTTGTCGTACTCAACGAAAATTTTTTGTTCTAGGTTTATAATCTAATAAAATATGTGCATCGAACAATCATAGATAGCCTACTGCCACGCACACTGTTGTTTTGTCTAGATGGACGGGAGGAAATCTAAGAATGAGTCATCCTGTTTAAACTGAGCGAATTGTAGAGGACTGCTTGTTTGTTTATGACCGGATGACGCGGTACATAGTTACATCAGCAAATTTAGGACTATTTAAATGATGATTTTTTTCTTTCTTTTCTTTCAAAAAATATTTGCATTGAAAATATTCAAAAAGTATAAAATTAAATTTTTTTCTGAGTTTGACATATATTTCAAATTGGTTCAAATCAATCCAATCGAATAATTTGCTGACTAACGATTGATCATGTAATTTTTGCAGTCTCCTGTAGATATCTTCGTATGGTACTATATTCAATAAATGTATAGCAACATGTATAAAAATACATTTACCCAGTTGTTTGGTAGTTCTTGTTGATATATTCTTAAATCTATTTGTATTAATCTACAACTGATAGGTGATGCAAAAAGAATTAGTGTTCTTACGATCGAATACCCTAAGAAAAGTATCTGAGGTATTACCAATTTTTAAAAGTACCTTTTCTTTATCCTTCATTGGAAAAAACATAGTACCCTGTGAAAGTATTTTTTTAAAACGAAAATATGCTGTTCTCATTAGTGACGCCACAATCCTTTCAGTCTGTGAAATACTTTGTTATTTACAACTAATTACTAAAAGATACTTAATGGTTTCAAAAATAGATATCTGAAAATAGTTTGTGACATTCCTGTTAGGAACTGCGATAAAAATTAATAGAAACGTTATTTATCATAATTCTTTTTTTTCTAGATCAACATCTACTATTTTATTTACAGCAGCATATGCATGTGAACTGTTTAATATTTTATGTAATATTCTCTTGGTATAGACAGAGAAAATTGTCATGCTGACAAAACAAGAGACGGTAAAAGAAATGAGAAGGGTTAAAATCCAGTAGAAACCTTTTTAAATCCACAAAAAAATCTATAATTTACTTACTAGGAATTAAAATATAATTAGTATTACTACTTTTAAAATTCTTTTTGTTTCGATTTATAGGATTTTCAAGTATAAATTCGATATATTCTCATTTGTTGTTATATCTCTACTACCGATGCACATTTTCTTTATAGCTATTTTTAAAAGAAAGCAATTGCTTTCATAAGCAAATATTTCTGAGTAAAACGGAACTGTGTCAAGAAAAACAAACCTCTCGAACAGCTGTGTTTTTCTTTCAGTTTCGATCGGAAAATATGATCACCCTACATTTTGTTCGGTAATTTATATGAACGAACTGAATCTATGGAAACCGTCTGTTTTCTTTGATTATAAAATGACTATTATACGTATATTGATGTAGATAGAGATAGACACAGATCTCAAAATATCTTCAATTACGGCGAAAAAGCGACATAGATCATAATGAAGTCAACTATTTTTTTCTTTCGCTGATGAATAAATTAGTCACAATCAATTCATTCTTTTTGTTGTTCTTTCGTTTCTTTTTCATAAGAAAAAAAACGTGAAACAATGTTTAGTACGCCTTGAAATATTTATTTTTTCATTTATTTTGATTAATTACTGTTCGTTAGTTTTGTTTTGTGTATGAATAGTTATATATTCGCATTCGATGTCCGATTTCTAGTTAATTTTCTTTCTTTTGTATAAAACAATCATAATAAGAAAAAAAGCGATGTTGTTCTGAAAGTAGAAAAAAACGTGCAGGAGCACAGCTGGCTACGAATAGAGTCGAAAAAGAAAGAAAAAAAATGCCCTACTTGCGCCGTTCTCTTGGTGCATTTATAATACCACCATTGATGTTTTGTGAGAGGGAGAAAAAAGAAGAAAAATCAAGATATAAGCAATTTATTTGGTTGTTTTAGCACATTTTTATACAAAATAACATCTTTATACAAAATAACATCTTTATTTTTCTGATCTTTTTCTTGATCAAAAAAAAAAACTTTTGCAAGTATGGCATCAAAAAGTACCAGTCGATCACAACCTATTAATACAACGACACAATGTAATGACACAGGTTTCGATTTTCCATTGAGTCCAAATGAACCGGGAAAATTCGATTTCTATCGGTAGGAAGCAATTCTTTTTTCTTAAATTTACCTACTGTTTTCTTTCTTTGAAGTGTGCATTTAAATAATCAAGCTCATAAAAATGATTCAATGTTTTCGGATAATTATGAACGTAAATTATATATTTATTTCCATCTATTCGATTAATACAATCAATTGTTTTTTTCTTTAGCACCTCATATATCAACTGAATTACCAAAGCGTTTGACAGCATTCGCTAATATGAAACATTTATCCGATCAAGGAAAAACTTCTTCATCATCAGCCTTATTTTGTTCAACATTACAATCATCAACAGATTCGGATGTATCGACTATACATAACAAGACATTAAATAAACCAATACAAACAGTTGCATCATTTTCATCATTAGCTGATGCAGTTAAAAATGCTATGAACAGAGGACATTTAAATACTACTACAGATCAACTTCGACGGCCTGTAAGTGGAACAACTTTATCATCAAAAGATCTTAATCATTTATCACCTCAATCCATGTAGAATTTTCAAACAACATGAGAGTGACATATTCACATACACAGAAATGAATATACGTATATAAATAAAATTTGAAACAAAAAAAAAATATATATATATATATGTGTCGAACAGTTTAAAAATAATGTCAGATAATTCTGAGCAGACTTCATTTCCTTTTCATTATTATTGCTATAACTGCACTCTCTAATATGTTTTCTTTTTTTTCTACTATCATATGTTGTGTTTGTATGTCGTGATACTGTCTATGCTTTGTTTGTGTTTTTTTCATCTCTAATTTCAGAAAATAATCGATGAAGACACGAATCTATTTTCATTTAAACTTTTATGCAATGAAAAATGTTCTTAATTGTTCGCCTCGAATAACTTGTTATTGTTCACATAAAGAATATATCTGTGAGAAAATAAACAGTTCTATGGGAAATGGAAGTCATGCTTTTAAAAATTGAGTTATGCCAGGAAAGATTCCATAGAGCAAATGAGATAAGTTCTTGCTTTGATAAGATCTGACTCATCACACGTTTTTCTATCTTCGCGAAAATATTTTATCAGTTTCTATTTTATATGAGAATAAAATTCAAAAGATGAATCTCGACATTCCTATTGTATATGTATGTCTATACAAATTAGTTCGTCATCTGATAAGATTCGTAATAGTATCATCAAAATTGATTGTGGTTTTTACTATATCGCATATTATATAGGAATAAAAAAAGTTAATGGCTGTTTCGAAGAACTACTAAGATTTATTGAATTTATTGAAACCATTAAATTTATCTACTATTAGAATAGAATACATTTAAAACATATTCAAAGAGATTGATATTTCTGTAATGCTGATCATCATATTAAACTAGACATATGTTTTCAGTTTAATTCGATCCTTCTGATGTTGACGTCAGAAGAAGAAGAGAATTTATTCCGAAATTCCAAAAGAAAAATATTGGAAGCTTCTGGAATTATAACAAGCCATAGAAGATAAATATCCATAAGTATAAGTAAATTTTATAATCAAAGAAAATATATAGACATTTTTCATAAGACAAACATGATGATCCATCCTATTATTGTAGTTAACATGTAACTGCTAATCTCAATATTTAGCTACCCAGTTCGCAAATAATATTTTTCTAAGAACCGACGCATATTGTACGTTGATAATAATTTTCAATTCGATAAGTTCTTCGATCGTACAGGTTATCAGGTATGATAGTAATAAACCATATCAGACGATGGAAAAGATGATATCTCTCTCTGGATGACATTTAATAAACATATTTTGAAATACACAATAGATGACTTCGTAGGATAAGAATTCTTTTCAAAATACATAGAAACATTTTTTTTTTATTCACATGGTTACCGGCGACAAGATATGCTGCGATTATTTAATTATTGAATGTCACTTATAAATATGATTTTTATGATGAAAATCTTAGTAGCTATTGGAAATATTGAAAAATGATAAATTTAATGTCTGTATATAGGTAAATATAAATCATTTCTTTCAAACGATAAAAAATGATTATAAGGTTTCTTTGATTATTTATCATTAGAACGAGAAAGTAGTCTTTCTTTTATTTGTTCTTTGTGAAGGTTACAGAATATATTTATAAAAATAATTAAAAAATTTATTAGAAGGTCAGCGGGAATATAGCACACCTTACAACTCTCAATTGTCATACTGATTTTGCTTTCTAGATGTATATGAAACGTTGATATTCTATCAAGGACATATATCGAGATATATGAAGAGTAGATCAGCGTTTTATAATGTCATGTAACCGAAAGAATGAAGTTTAAAATTGTTTGAGTCAGTAAGCGTGTCAATTTCTTTGCTCATTAACTGTTTCGTATGCCACCGTTGCTTTATTGGCCTTATTTAAAATCTGATTTGGAGCATTGGAGTATCACATTATTACTGATTTTGTTTGTTATCTTCAAACTATAAATGATTTGCACATCTTTATGAAGAATTAATCATTATTATCTCTGTTTATTGAAGAAAAAAGAAAAAGAATTATTCAGAAGTTAGCACAATCTAGCCAAATTCTTTAAAAATATTCTCATTTTGCTTGATTTAATCTTTGTCGGATTGACGTTCAATTTAGTCTTAAGTATTGAAAGAATTTCTGGATAAAAATCTGGAATAGATCTTGATAAGCGTTTAGTAAAACTGAGAGTAAATCTTGGTAGGATCCTCTACTTGCTGTTAATAAAGAAAAATTGTCTATCAGCAGGAAGTACAAGGGGCATGATTTTCATCCTGCTCTCGTTCTAACTCATGACAAGAGAAGACAAAAGTTGAAAATTTGTTCCGCAACCTTGTCTCATTTCTGATTAGCGGCATGATAAAAATAATCAAACGTTCATCCTCAAGATACAGGATAGAATACCAATACCAAGGCTGTCTTACTTTTGTACTCTTCTCTATTACTTACTATATGTTGTATTTTTATTTTCGGTTCTTATTGTATAGTTGGATTCTGCAGTGAAAAAACAATAAGATATTGTATTAGCTGTATTGTCTAACCTACTGGCCATCGAATACATTACGTTAGAAATAACAGTGATTTACTTTTCTTCCTTTTTTTTCAACTTTTATTAATAGAAAAATTAAAATGATGTAATTATGATATTTAGAAGAAAACTGTACAAGACAATGAGAACGAGCAGCACATTATATACCGTCAAAAAGAGATCAGTTTTAGAAAATAAGCAAAGGATATAACAGAGAAAAGCATTTAAATCAATAATGCACAATTAGAGTTTTGATTCGATTTTAACTTAGGAAAGTTGATAAATGTGAGATAAATCTTGTGACCATAGAACCCATATTCTTCATACAATAACTATGAGCCTAACTGATCCCACACCAGATGCAACGATTGAAAATGGTCCTACTACATGCATTCCATAAATTGTTGCCACGACAATATACCTGACTATAGTATCAATATAAATAGACAAAAAGAACTGCATACTACTAACGCCACCATCATTTTCCAATAATCTATTTGCCAATCGAGCTGAAGCATTAAAGCTGTTATTATAGATATATCCGTATGTATCCATAGTACTTTCAGACGATATATTATACCATCCATTTCTAGAGACGTTGATAAGAAGAGCCTGATAATAGAAGGATGGTACTGTGCAACCAATTGTATGGCAAAAACTTAGACTATTGTTAGTGAGCTCTGATGAATATCGTGAGATTACAGTGGATACACTGCCTAGTATGAAAAACAAAAACGTTTAATGAGAATTTTTCTATTCAGTGTCATTCTATGAGAATTTCTAGGGATCGAAAATCATCATTTAAATAATATTATCGATAATAAATAGGAAATATGAAGAGCATAAATTTTCCGTAAGAGACTACTTTAGATATGTGATACACTACATAACAACACTACATAGATTTGTCAGCTCGCTTTACTGGTTACTTGATAGAATAAATATAAAATCATAGCATCTTGTCCAAAATTACAGTCCAAAAATGATTTTTCCTATTTTTAATGAACAATCAAATAAAAGCATTAGTATTCAATTCATTTTGCATTTGTTCGAAGTATACACATTCATATTATGACAGACAAAATTAAATCGAATCGAATAAAGATTTATAAAAACTCGTACTTTGCTCTTCACAATACATAATATACATTGTCACTACTAGTATACCCACCCAGGTTGATCAAAACGGACTTGCTTACGGCCGGTTTATCGACGGTAAACGATATCAAAACGGTATATTTACGGCAGTAAATAGGCCGTATTTACCCGTAATACCTGGCGCAGTAATACGGCACCGTAAATGCGACTGAATTTTCATGGTTTACGGCTGTTTGTGCTCCGTACTCTCCCGATAATACGGTCCGTATTACTGCGCCAGATATTACGGCAAGCTTTCGCCCGTAAAATAGTCGTAAAGTAACCGTCAATGGCCGTATATGGACCGTATTGTTCGACCTGGGCAGGGCGATGTTTCCGGCCTCCGGAAATGAGCGGATTCAATTGGAACCGGCCAGGAACATGCAGGAAAACGCCGGATATCACCGGACCCTGGAAGCAGTATTCCGGGACGGATTTCTCCGGATTTTCCCGATGATTTCCGACGGGAACCAACAGAAACTTACAGGAAAAATCCGGAGGTTTCCCGGTCCGGAATACTGCTTCCGTGGAATCGCGGGAGTATGCGGGAACCGGCCGTTTCCCGGGCCGGTTGTTCGAACCTGGGAATGGAACAGGAAATTTGGAACTTGACGATTATGAACTACTATCAGATATTTTGGAAAGCGAAGTTCAATTCGCCATAGAATCTTTAGCAAATGGAAAAGCACCTGGGCATGATGGTATTCAAATTGAATGTTTCAAGACAATTAAAGAAGATGCAGTGAAAATATTAACAAAATTATGCCAACAAATATGGAAAACATCGATATTCATTCCCATACCAAAGAATGGAAATGCCAAAGATTGCTCAAATTACCGAACAGTCGCTCTCATCTCACATGCCAGCAAAATCATGCTGGAGATTATACAACGGCGATTGGAACCTTTTCTCGAACGAGAAATGCCAATTACACAAGCAAGATTTAGAAAAGGAAGGGGGACATGCGATCAAATAGCAAATTTACGGTGGTTGGTGGGAAAAGCTCGTGAATACCAAAAAGAGTTTTACTTATGTTTCATCTACTATAGTAAAACTTTCGACTGTGTAGATCATGAGAAACTCTGGTCTGTACTACTGGAAATGGGTGTGCCAAAGCATTTGATTATCCTTGTGAAGAACTTATACACCAATCAACAAGCATCGGTGACAACGGAATATGGAAATACAAAATGGTTCAACATCGGAAAAGGCGTACGACAAGGCTGCATATTATCTCCATACTTATTCAATTTATATGCAGAGCATATAATGAGAAAAGCTGAGATAGATGAAGCAGTAGGTGGTATAAAGATTGGTGGACGAAATATCAACAATTTACGTTACA